TCATTATATGGGAATCACAAAGTCCATGGTTAGAAGGGCCATATTAAGTAATTCACTGCACCACAAATCTTCATAACAACACTGTGTGATAAAGATGATTGTTGTTGTTAGCTGCACAGTGGAAAGAAACCCATTCCCATGACTGGTTATAAGTGGGGCCTTTGTGATTTATAGGATTTTCACTGGTAGATTTTTGGATGCAGAATGCCAGGCCTTTCTTCCTAACCTCTGGAAGCTCTGCTGAAACCTGTTCAACATCATAGCAATACACATGCCTCCACTAACAGACAGGTGATAGCTATGCATGAAATACATTGGCTGGGAATCAAACTGCGCCTCCTACGTGAAGGCAAGAATTCCTTTTACAGAAGAGCAAACGGAGGCTCCAAGTAGGAGAAATTAAGCAACATAGCCCTGCCCTCAGGTTAATATATGGCCATGTGTGACTAACAGAGTAGAGAACTTGAGATTTGGGGCGTTGGGTGTGGGTGTGGGGGAAATGGGGGTGCTGTCCTGGAAACCTGGCCTAAGCTTTGGCATCCCAGGAATGTGCTTTTCAGAGCTTTGGTGGGCCTTTTCCAGACCTGCCCTGAAAAAAAAGTTCAGAGAACTTTCTGAAGTTTAAGTAGGCTGAGTCTCTTTCAGGAAGAGAGCCCCTTCCTGATAACTCTTTGGAGGTCTGTTGGGGCAAAAGAGTTATCGTGAAGTAGATAAAAGGGAAAGCTGGGCTCACAACAGAAACTAGGCAATTTGTTTTTTAATTTTTCTGAAGGGATGTTTAAAAATACAGCATGTGGAATAGGAATGGAATTTAATGGTGACATATTCATAAATCGCAACAACTCCCAGAACTGCCTAGCTGTGTAAACTTCCTCAAGACAAAAAAACCAAACTCAATGCCATAGAGTTGATTCTGACTCATAGTGACCCCCACTGGGTTTCCAAGGCCATAAATCTTTAAAGCAGATTGCCCCATCTTCCTTTGGGGGAGCGGCTGGTGGGTTTGAACCACCCACCTTCTGGTAAGCAGTCAAATGCCTCAGGCACTGCACCACCAGAGCACCTTAAACTTCCTCAGGTTATTGCTGATGGTCTCATTTGACCTTGACACTGAACCTGCCAAAAAAACAAGCAGGCATTATTTTCTCCACTTCACAGGTTGGGAAAGCAAATATATCCACCCAGGATCTATCTGATTCCCAGTTGTCAAATACTCTTATAGATTTCTCCCCCTGAATTCATCACTGTTTATCTTTCTAAGAGGGTTCAACTGTCCCCTTTCAATCTGTCTTCTGCCTTTTCTCCTAGGTTTTGCCATAACCCTATGAGAGGTTAGCACTCTCTGCCAAGTTCAGTTTGCAAAACCCAAGAGAACTCCAGCTCAGCTCATGTTCAGGCCAGTTTCCTATACATGCCTTTTTTTGGCAAAGGATCTCTGGCAACAGCACGAATCCCAAAAGAGATTCCTTGATTCCTAAAAGTTGCTTTCTACCAGCCTTTGGTAGTTTAGACAATTGGGTTCAACTGTGAAAAAGCCCTTTTTGTTTTGATTTTGCCGTGGAAAGAAGAAACTACCCTTGGGTTTGTCCAAGTCCTTCTCCTAAAGGATATCGATATTTATATTAATCAGTTGATTGGGGTCAATTGATTTTAAAGGTGTTTTTCCTCATAATGCATTCACAAAACAAAATGAATTTTTGGCTGTACTTTTGTGAAGAGTTTAAATTTCTCATCCATTACTGTTTATAAGGTGATTTGGAATTACCATCTAAATATTATGAATACACTCAAAATTAAAAATCTATATACAGTTCCTGGAAAGGAAAAGGCCAAGTATAGAAAGGTGGGGGGAGCTTCCAACAAAACCTCAAAAGTTCTTCCTTTCGAGGCAGAGGGGAAACTGTCGTTAGAATATTTTAACAGCGGTTTTTAACAACCTCCGTTGGGCACCAAATAGAGAACAACCACAGTTAAAAGAGAAATCCCAGCGGGATCTCTAAAGAGGCGCAATTCCAGTTTAGGGAGTGTGCTCTTTACCAGCTACCCACATCCAACCAGCCAAGCAGCCTGCCCTGGAATCTGAGTCAGGGCTTTACGGGTTAAAGAGCCGATGTCACATCGGGCGTTCGAAACTCCTCCTCCCACAGTGAGGTGAAGATATTTGAAAATCACCCCACTGCAAACTCCTCCCCCTGCGAGAAACCTCACATTGAAATGCTGCCAATGACCCTGGCCCCGCGTGCAGTCGCCGCCGGGCCACGCGAAGCCCAGGTCTCCAGCCCCGACACAGTGGACCGCGGGCCGGGTCGGGCGTTCCAGGCGGAGACTGCGAGCATGGGGTCGGCCCGCTGGGGACTGCGCTGCGCAGTTGTCCTGCTCCTCGCCGCAGCGGCGGCTGCAGGTAAGGCTGGCTCCGGGCGCCCGCGCGGGTGAAGGGCTCCCGGCGTCGCGGAGACCGCGGGGAGGTCCAGCCGCTCCTCCAATTTGTGTATGTGTGGCGAAAAATCACTCTAGACTTGGGAGACCTGTTGGGAAATGGTCTTTCCCAAACGACTGGAGGGAGCACTGCAGAGGACGTGAGGTTTAGGGGACTCGGAGGGCTCAGAGAAAACGCGGTCTCTGCCGAGTGAGAAACTCCCCGCCGACTGAGGGAACTCCTGGTTTTTCCTCAGAGCGGAGACTTCCAGCCCTGTAAGGGAGGTATCCGCTCTCGGGGCCATTCTAGGGACGAGGGCAACCTGGGGACTCTCGCGCCGAGGCCCGGCTGCCCTACCTAGAGATCCCTTCAAGCCCCTTCGGCACGGGTCCGTGGGCAGGGGTTACCTCGACGATGAGGTTGGCTTTGGGCAGCCTGGGGCGCCTCCACCTCCCCCGGCGGGGCGCGGTCTCTTGGTGCACCTCACTCGCGCTTCTGCCTTGGGCTACCGCCTACGGTCCCTCCCCCGTGCTTCCATTGGTTGTGGTTCGAACAGGCGACCCTCGAGCCACTCCCCTCGGCCAATGGGAGACGACGACTGAGGAGGCGCGCGCGGCCACGGGGCGGAGCTTGCGCGGGCAGGGCTGGCGTGGAGCTCGCGCCGCACCTGGTTCTGGCTGAGAGGGACCCTAGCAAGGCTTTCCGGTCCGTCGGTGGCTCCTGTCACATAGGAGGCGACACACCCCGGACCTCTGTAGCCGACTCTGTGTACATGGACAAGACACCTACCGAGTGCCCTCACTCCGCCCGCCCCTGACACTCCGCCTGCCCCTGAGATATTCATAGACGGGTCCCAGGCCACCCCCACGCCCTCAGTTCCTTCCAAGCCTCGAAACGTTGCTTCCCAAATTCTCCTGCCCCTCATCGATCTGTTGCGAAGAGAGATGGGCACTTTCCAGAGACTGTCGGCCGTGCTCTCCCTGGGCCGGGTAGAAGGTTGCAGCCCCGCGACGGCCCGTCAGGGTTGCGTGTCTGCTCAGAGGCTCTAAAGGGGTCAGTTGACGTTTCTTCGTTTGGGGGGCTTCAAATATTGGGTAGGTGGCTATTTAGTGCTTGATCCTGAGTTCCTGCTCTCTTCCCGGACGTTGTAAATTAGCTGCTGAGAGGCAGTTGGCCCAGCCCTACGCGATAGATTAATGGTCCTCTTCCTCCTTGGAGCCAGCTCAGCCTAAGAGAGAATTGTGGCTGTTTGATGAAAAGGATTCCCAGAAGCTTTTTGTTGACTGGCAGGGGAGTGACTTTGAGTGGAGAGCTTTGAACCTTCATGGAATCCGTACCTGTGACACATCCGGCTTCTAATGGGAGTGGGAAGATCCAGGCAACCAGATAGCCCAGGATCCTGTGGCAATATCTGCCGCCCACTTGTATGAAGCAAGACATGATCATATTTCCCTCACGATCACTTCCTTTCTCGAAAATGTTGCTAGTGAAGTCTAGAGTCCTCATTTGAATTTCCTCTCTGCTGGGTGGCTGAGGAGCTGATGTGTTTGACTTCTGTTCCCAAAGAAGGCTCCACAACATGGTGTTTTCCCTCAGGCTTCTGAGAGTTGGCAGTGACTTTTCTCCTCTCGTGGTAGCTTGTGCAGATCTAGGCAGCCCTAGGTACACTAGCTTACTCCTCAGCTGTCAAGGCATTTCCAGGAAGTTGCTTGTCCTGTCCCTTTGGAAAACGAGGTAGTTGAAATATGGACTGCACACCTTCACTTAAACCAAAATTTAGTTCACTTGTGTGAAGCATTGAGTATGTCAATGTCACACCCACTTTAGCAACACGCCTCAGAGGGATTGTTTGTCATTGCCTGATGACACTTCTCTTTTAGGGAACACTGGTAAAAGTTGGAGAAAGCTTTATAGAGACCAAACACCTTTCAGGTGAATCATGTGTCATTCTGGTGCAGTGGCTGCTAAATGCTTGGCTGCTAACCGAAAGGTTAATGGTTCAAACCCACCAGCTGCTCCACAGGAGAAGATGTAAAGATTATATACCGTAAAGATTACAGCCTTGGAAGTCCTGTGGAGCAGTTCTACTCTGTCCTAGAGGGTTACTATGAGTCAGAATTGACTCAGACTTGATGGCAGTGGGGTAGGACATGTGTGTCATTTTGTCTTTCCAAGCTGTTGCTGCCCATTTCTCTTGGGTTTCTCCCCTGATAGGGTGCAATTCCACATGTTTTTGTTGCTCTGTGCTTTGCCATGAGCGTACCCTCAATCTTTTGAAGTCTTCACATTACACTTTAATACCATCAATAGCATTAACGCTTTTCTGGCTGTCATACGAGAGGCCATTTGTTTCTAAGAAACTGTGGAAGTAACCAGCAGTGAACAGTGACAGTCCTTCAAGAGACAAGTGGCCTCTCCTAAAAGGAGTGGACAACAAAGTCTGGTCATCAAGATCACCACTGGGGAAAATATCTTGGTGCCACCCAGTTTGTTTCCCGACAAAGCATTGGCAAATTGACTTCTCATTCATTTTCATTTCTTTCTTCATGGAAATGATTCTGTGTACAATCTTGATTTCCCTGTACAACAACCGTTTCAGTCTCACAAAACATCGACAGCATTCACCACCTCATTTGCATGTTGGCAGAAAAAGCAGAAATGGGGATTCTCCTTTTCTGTTTCAATAACCTTGTTCCTGACTTATCACCCATGACACCAGAAACTTAAAGGCTAAAGTTGAGAGATTTTGTTTTTGATTTAGAGGTGCAGTGCTTATGTAATTTTTGGCATTTCCAGGATGAGGGGCTGGGCTAGGAGGGTAGGAGGTATGCCGGTTCGCTTTGGCTGAAATTCAGATGGACTGACTTGGAAAACCCAAACTTTGCTTCTGCAACACTGGAGAAAGACAAGGAAGACATGAGGTTTCTTTGGGCTGTGGTGTTTGGAACAGGACTAGTTCCATCCCCTTGCTTAGGAAAGTCTGGGCAGATGTGGGGGCATTGATCTGATGTACTGATGGCCGTGGGGCTTATTTCTCGGCTGACTGCCATCTGGCAGTGCCTGGAGCAGTGAAATCCACTTTTTAAACATTGTCTGCTGATCACTTGTTCTGATAGAAATAGGTTGTGGTGGTGTCTTTGCTTGGGGAGATCTTCAGCCACCTGTGGTGAGCAAATGCTTGAAGAACTGTTGAGGGGTGGGCTTGATGGCCAGGGAGGGGGTTTTGTTATTCTTTATCCCTCTTCAAAGGGGCTTAAGGGAGCTGTGGTGGTACAGTTGTTAAAGCATTTGGCTTCTAATGAAAAGGTTAGCAGTTAAAATCCATCAGCCACTCCATGGGAGAAAGATGAGACAGTTTGCTTCTGTAAAAATATACAGCCTTGGAAGCCCCGTGAGGGCAGTACTACTCTGTCCTATAGGGTTGCTATGAGTTGGAATCAACTCGAATGTTTCCAGTCTCCCCTGTGGCTCATTTTGTGTGTCTGTTGGGTCCTTAAGCAAAAGCTGGGAAGCAAGACTGGATTCATGGGAACTGAAACTGCAGTGGCCACGCTGGTGGTGGGGTGATTGGAGCTCCTCCTCCAAGTACCTCATTGCAAATGCTCCTTGCCGTCAACTTCCTTCTTTATTTTTTCTGGAAGTCCTGGCGTTCCTTTTTGCCCCCTCAGTTTTTTGTGCAAAAAGTGGGAAGGCCTGAGTCATTTCCTCCTTTTAGTGCTATCATGGTTCAGCTGTGAGTCAGTAGGGTGTGGGGTCGACTGTAGAAGCACTGCTGAGTGAAACATCCTGTACTGATCAGTCACTGGGCAGTGGCATCTGTGACCACAGCAGATTCCAAAGTCAACTCATTTGTCTTCTTCCTCCCTCCCTGTCTCCCACCACCCATTCTACCTGTCACTTGGGCTCTAGACCATGGCTACTGTGATTCACAGTTATCAAGTTCGGTTGATTCTTCTCACTACTCCCTATGTTTCACCATCTTTACCACCTCCATCTTTGTTTTGGCTGTTCTCGTATGTATCTCCTAATTTCACCAGACCAGTTCCCCGAGCTCTTGAAAGACCATTAGACTTGAACTTGGAAGAGACAGAGTCTGTTTTCCTTTTGAATTGAAGTATTATCAAATGGACAGATAATAAGTGAAGTGTTCAGTGAGTTTTGACAAATGTCTACATCCATATAACCACCTCCCATCAAGATGCAGATCGTTTCTATCCTGCCAGAAAGTTCCTTTGTGCCCCTTTCCTGTCAATCATCCTAGAGAAAACCACTGATCTGATTTCTATCATTATGGATTAGTTTTGCCGGCACTAGAACTTCATATGAGGCATTGGTGGTTCAGTGGTAGATCTTGCCTCCCATGCTGGAGACCTGGGTTTGATTGCTGGCCAACACACCTCATGCATAGTCACCACCCATCTGTCAGGGCTGACTTACACGTTGCTATGTGCTAAACAGGCTCCAGCAGAGTTTCCAGGCTAAGACCGACTAAGAAGAAAGCCCCCAAATCAGCCATTGTAAACCCTATGGATCACAGTGGAATGTTGTACTCTAGAGCCGGACACAGAATATTGTTTCAGAGACCCATCTGTTTTGCCTGGATCAGTTGTTTGTCCCTTATTGCTTAGTAGTATTCTGTTGTATGAATATGCCACCGATCTGGGGAGAGCTCCTCACAACAGTCTCTATGAAACAGGGACTGCTATCGGCACAATGGTTAAAGTGCTTGGCTGCTAACTGAAAGATCGGCAATTCAAACCCCCCAATGGCTCCAAGGGAAAAGAGCCCTGGTGATCGGCTCCTGTAAAGATGTACAGCCTAGGAAACCTGTTGAGTGAGAATCAACTCGACTGCACACAATAACAACACTCCCCCATTTTACAGATGAAGAAACTGAGGCCCGGAAGGATCAGGACAGTTGCCAAAGTCGTGCTAGTCAAATGGCCTGGAAAGCCATTTAAATCAGATCTAGTAACTTGGTGTTT